CGTAGCTGGCCACCAAGAGGTGTACTATATCCACTCTTCTTGCGAACTTTTGCTGGAGACCCATGCCGCAGTCAAGAAACCATGGCAGGGCTCTGCGGGCCCGAGCGTGCACGAAGCTTGCCACTCGGGGTGCAGGCAACGGGGGACCACCAATTCCCTCTGGCTGACCTGGGGGTGGGAGCCACGTGTGCGGAGCCGACCTCCCCCTCTTCCCGCAACTCCGCCGGCTCGAGCGTGGGAACTTCGGTCACGACGTTGAAATCGGGACCATTTTGGGTTCAGGCGGGGCTCTGATCTCCCGGGCGTTCCTTCGATCATGGGACCGTTCCGTATCACTCCGTCCCCAACCGGCGGTGGTCCACAGAAGGCAGCTGTGCACTACCGCCATTTTGGGCCGCTCCGACCAGAATCTCGAGGCGGATCCGGCCGTGGCGACGAGAAGCTTCCCGGAGGCCCCGCAGGCCCTTGGACCTCGAGCCCCGATCCCAGGCGGCTCAGCCTCCCGGAGCCGTCTCTGTCTCCATCCTGGACGTTTGTCCCTTTCCAGGCAGAGGCACGACCCCCCAAAAATTGTGGTGCTGGGTCCTCTAGGACCTCTCCGCCGTCCCGCGACGACGAGGCATGACAGCGAGCCACCCGATTGCGACGCCTGTGGGGGCCCCCGGAGGCCTCTGCCCCAGGGGACCCAAGAACAAGAAGGGACACACACAAACTGTTTGCGTCGGCGGCCTGGCAGATGGACTGCTCCGGCGATGAGGCATTTGTGGGACACACAAGACGCGAATGAAGCCGCAGTGTGCGGGAGGGAGAGACAGGCTAAGCCCAGCGCGGGCGGGAAGGAGAGGAAGCCGGGCCCGCTCAGAGCGGGGCCAGGCGGCGGCCTGGCAGGCGCCAGGGCGGGGAACCAGCGGCGGCGGCGAGGCAGCAGCTGGGGGTAGGCAGCCAGAAGGCAGCCAGGCGCGGCCCGGGGGGGGGGAAGCAGGTCCAGCGCGACCTGGAGGTGGAGGCAGCGCAGTAAGGCAGCCGTGGTGCCGAGATCCGAGTGACCTCAAGGCAACCGGGGGCGGCAGCCAGAGCGGCCCACCCCGGGTGAGGGGTCACGGGGCATTGGGGAAGTAGTCCCAGCAAAGCGGGGCGGGGGAGGCGAGGGCCGACCAAGGTGCCGAGGCGGGGGGCCGAGCAGCAGAGACGGAGCCCGCCGACCGACAACGCCGGTGGCGAACCCGCCAGAGGGGCCGGCCTGAAAACCAGGCAAAGAGTGGCGGTGGGTGCCGAGGCCGCGGGTGGCAGGCGCGGGGGGGAAGCAGCGGGCGAAGACCCGGGCCAAAATCCCGCAGAAGGCCTGCGATCCACCCTGCGCAGGGCAGGGGACGTAGCGGCGGGGGCAAGGGCCTCCTCTCGGGGGAAGCAAGGACGGGCAGACCGAGGCCGCAACTGGCAGCCAGGGCGAAGGCGCAAACGTTGGAGGGGGCAGGGGCGCGGCGGTTGCCAGGGGCGAGCGGCAGGGGCAGGCGCCCGAGCGCCCCAAAGGTGGTGACCGGAGCGGCTCACGACACGCGGAGCAAAGGGGGCCAGCCTCAGAGAGGCAAGGAGTGGAGCGCGCGGCTCCACATGGTGGGATCCCAGACCCCCGACGTAATGATTTTTTCGTTACGTCGACCCCCAGAGGTCCCGACCCTTTCCCCATGACCGGCTTTGCATCCTGAGTTGTTTTTTGACGCTCCCGAGGCCCGGTGAGGGCCCCAGGAGGCCGAAAATTAGGAAAAACCTCCCGTCATGATTTTTTCATTACTCGAGGGGGTCTGGGATGAGAACCGGGGCAGCTGGCGCGGGGGCACGGCACCGCGAGCGGAGCGGCGCCTGCCAGCGAGAGTCCCTCCCTCCTATCCTTCGCCTTCCGCCCGGCGCCTTTCGGGAGCCCCTGGAGGCCAAGGAAGGGCCAGGAGCCCTCCCGAATTGTCGAAGACTTCCGAAAACCTCCGCAGGGAAGGGGCCAAATGTCCAAGGCCACCAGGGATGGCGCGAACGACCAACACACGCAAAACCTCAAGGACCAAGGCGCACGGCGCGAAACGCCAATGCAATCTTGTATGTATATGTGTGTATGTATGTCTGTATGTATGTATGTATGTATGCATGTATGTATGTATGTATGTATATATATATATATATATATATATATATATATATCCACCTACATATCTATATATCTATCTATATATATATATCTATATATATATATATATCTATCTATCTATCTATCTATCTATCTATATATATATCTATATATCTATATATCTATCTATCTGTCTATCTATCTATATATCTAGCTAGCTAGCTAGCTATCTATCTATCTATCTATCTATCTATCTATCTATCTATCTATCTATCTGGGGGGCAGGCCCGGGGCCTACAAACAGCTGCCCCGACCCCCCATGAGGACGGGACGGCTGGGGAGGTCCAAAATAGTCCAGGGGGGCCTCCAGAGGCTCCCCAGACGGCCCAAGCGGGCCCGGAGTCGCCGCAAGACCGCTCCTGGACGCCCAAGATAGGCCCAAGACGACCCGAGAGGCCCCCTCAAGGCATTCCACGACGCTTGCCTCTCCAGAGCGCTTCAAGTGGCCGAAATCGTCAATTTTACGAAGGTTTTGGAGAGGTTTTGGCCTTCCAGACTTTTCGGCTGTCCGACGTTCCGAGACGGCCCAATAGGCCCCCAGAGCGCCCCAAGACGGCCCAAGATGGCCCCCAGACGGCCCCAGAGGCGCCCAAGACAGCCCAAGAGAGCCCCAAGACGGCCCCAAGATGCACCCAAGAGGGGGACCACGACTCCAAAATTCGACCTTCCCGCTTGAAGAGTGCCTGAGGAGGCTCCAAGGAGCCCCCAAGAGGCCCCAGGAGGCCCCCGAGAGGCACCCAGGAGGCCCAAACGAGGCCTCAAGAGGCCACAAAACAGCCCCGAGGAGGCCCACAACGGTCCCAAAACGGCTGCCGAGAAGCTGCGAAACTGCCTGACGTCCCCGACAAGCCAACCACGAGATCCAAACCAACACCCATGAGGCCTCTGACCCATCACCTAGGGCACCCGCCGCCCGCCCGCCGTCCGCGGAGCACGCACCACTCTGTACTCAACAGCTTCAGTCTCCAAGACAACACCCTGTAGTCAACAGCCCCCGTCTTCAAGGCAACACCCTGTGCTCAACAAGCTCCCGCTGCAAGAGAGCACCCTTAAGGAATTCATTCACATCCCGACCCGCCCGCTCGCCCGCCCGCCACCCGCCCGCCCGCCACCCGCCCGCCCGCCGCCCGCCCGGCCGCTCGCCCGCCTTCCGCGTAGCACGCGCCACCCTGCACTCAACAGCCTCCGCCTTTAAGACAACACCTAGCATTCAACAGCCCCCAGGGCTCCCGGGACTGCCCGGGCCTGCTCCCAAACACGCCCCGACACGCCAAGAGGGCCCTAAAGATTGCTAAGACAGCCCCAAGAGGCCCCGGACACGCCGAAGATGGCCTCAGGACGGCCGACGGCGCCGCCAAAACGCCCCAAGAGCGCCTCCAGAGGCCCCTCCAAAGGGCCCCGCATTTTTGCGCTCTCGCATGTTCCGCCTTCCCACGGTCCCGGACGGCGTCAGAGGCCCTTCAGATCGCTCCAAGACGGCCGAAGAGGCTCCCAAGAAAGACCAGAGGTCTCAGGAGGCTCACCAGATAATTCAAGAGGGCCTCGAGAGCGCCCCAAGAGAGCCCCAAGAGCGACCCAAGAGGGCCCGAAGAGCGCGACATTTCAAGGTCTCCGGCCTGAGAGGCTCCTGGGACGCCCCCGGAGGCCATCAAGAGGCTCCCAAGAAGCCCCGTGAGGCTCCCAAGAGGCCCCCCAGAAGCCCCAATAAGCCCCCAAGGGGCCCCCAGGGAAGTCCCCTGCGGGCCCCCAAGAGACCTCGGTAAATCGTATTTCCCAAGGAGCTTTCCGGGAACATGATTCCTTGGGCTTCCGCCCACCGCCCCAACCACGTTTCCAATAGGCTTGCCGACAAGGCCAAAAAGGGCCCCTCGGTAAGCCCCCAGAGGCCCCCCTGTTGAGAGAGCCGAACAAATCATGATCCCGGAAAGCTTCCCGGGAACATGATTCTCGGGTTGCCGCCCTCTCCCAAAACCATGTTCCCTAAACGCTTGCCAGGATGAAAAAACGAGAGTCCCAAGCAGCGCTCCCTGCCGCCACGCTCGGAAACGCGTCAGGCCCCGCAGCCTCCGGAGACGCCCAACGACACCCCAACAAATCATGTTCCCAGGAAGTCTTACGGCCAGTGCCGCCGACGTTGAAGGAGGACGGTCCAGGACACCCAGAAATCTTCCAAACAGGCTTCCAAGAGGGCGCCGAGACAGCCCAGGGCCGCCCCCAGACCGCCCAAGAAAGCCCCAACACAGACGAAAGGGGCCGCAAGAGGCCCCCAAGAGGCCCTGGAACGAGGACATATCGTTCGAACACGCCCAAGATGGCTTCTGGACGGCCCACAAGGCTTCCAACACGGCCCAAAGGGACGCCAAAATCATTGATTGTCCTTAGGGTTTTTTGATGGATTTCAGACACCCAATGTCGCCCCAACAGGCCCCCACGAGGGCGGCCCACCCACCCCCTGCCGCGGGCACGAGGCGGGGCCCGGGACGGGGCCCTCGCACCGGGGGGCCCGGGGGCCCTGCCGTGGCGCTGGGGGCCTTGTAAAGTCGCCCGAAGACGGCCCTGGATTGCCAGAAATGGCGTTTCCAGACAACGAAAACGACCACTGACCGCTCGAGATCACCCCAGAATTGGTCCCTGACTGTCCAAGAGGCCTCCAAGACGCCCCAAGAGATCTCCAAGATGGCTCCCAAGGAGCCCCAGGAGGCACAACTAATTTGTTTTCCGTTGGTTTTTCATAGACTTTCGAGTTCTCGCCTTTTGAGTTTCCTGACGCTCCACAACGGCCCAAGAGGCTTCAGTTTCCGCTCCAAGGCATCCCCAGAGGCCTCGAAGACGGTCACAAGACAGCCCACGGGGGTCCCAAGACGGCGCCAGAGGCGCCCAAGGCGGCCCGAGAGGGCCCCACGACGGCCCAAGATGGAGCCAAGAGGGCTCAAGCTGGCCAGAAGGAGAGGATATTTCAGTGCTTGCTTTACCGCCGCCTCTGGAGGGCCCGCCCAGCCGCAGGAGCCATGGCCGCGCGCGGCGAGCAGGACGAGCAGCTCCTCGCGAGGCCCAGCGCGGCCCCGGGCGCTCCTGTCGTCTTGGGCCCGGAGACCGGGGGCGCCGAGGGTGAGCCAGGCGCCGAGGGGGAGCCGAGCCCGTGGCGGCCGGCGCGCGCGCGCGCGGTCGTCGCCGCACTGGTGGCCTGCGCCGTGCTCGCCGCACTGGTGGCGGTCGGTCCGCGGCGGATCCGCGCAGCCGCGCGGCAGGTCGAGGTCGGGCCAGGAGCGCTGGGCTCCACGGTGTCGCTCGCCCTGTCCGATGAGGACTACAACGAGATGTTGGACGGGGTAAATCAATTGCGCATGGAGAATGGCATTCCTCCCCTCTGCTACAACGAGAAGCTCAACAAGGTAGCGCAGCAGTACGCCGACAAGCGTCGTGAAAACCCTCGGTCGGCGCACGTCGGGGATGACGGCAGCGACCATAAAGTCCGCATAGCCAGGGGGGGTTACGATGCCTTTCTTTCGGGGGAGCTCCTCTTCGGGGGAGACACAGTCTCCGACGTGCTATTTTTCTGGAGTCACTCAGGCCCTGGGATATACAATCTCTTTAATCGGCGCTTTTCCCAGTTCGGCTTCGCAAAGAGCGGCCCAGAATGGGTGGGGCTGTTCGCCCTACCACAAGGAAAGGAGGCCTGCATCCAGGCCGGGGGCGGAGCGGATGGGCACGGCGGCCTGTGCAGAGACTTCGTGCCCGCGGGCGAGTCGTCCTGGCACGACTCCGACGGGGAGACGTGCTCCTGGTACGCAATTGGCAGTCATTGCGCGGATCACGGCCACAAATACAAGAAGTTCAACCACACCGCCGACACGGCCTGCTGCGCTTGCGGTCGCGTCGAGGGCGGCGGCTGTATGGATTTGGTGCCGGACGGGTGGAAGGTGTGGACAGACGGTCATAACGAACAATGCAGCTATTATGCACGGGAAGGAGATGTTGACCTCTGCCAGGCATACGGCGGCAGTGCTCCCCAAGGGGGTTTGACGGCCAGAATGGCCTGTTGCGTTTGCGGTGGTGGCCGCACGCTTGGCGAAGACCCAACGTCAGATTTTTTAGCGCCCCCCCCGCCCTCCAGTGGTTTGGGCTGCGGCGAAGATTGCCAAGATTCCGCGGAGTGCCATTCGACCCTATTCTGTGATCACATGCACCATATTTGCATGGACCCTGTGACATTATTGATTTTTGGGTCGAACTGCCACGAGGTCGATAAATCTAATTATGCCTAGGTGTCAACGCAATTGAGTGGGCGACTGCTCGCCTGCGTGCAGTAGCGCGGTTGTACTTGGAGCGTCGATGTCGGGTGTGGGCCGGCAGCAGTAGCTCAGTGTGCAACTGCGTGGCACAGCGAAGGGGTCCCACTGCTCTGCGCAGCCGCGCGTCCCAGGCTTGAGGAAGGCGTTATCGACGCTGTCCCTGGGTTGGTGGTCTTGCCTTCGCCCGATCGGCTGGGGGGCGACGCGTGCGAGCGCGAGTGCGGGTTCCTTCCGCTCAGGGTAGAGAGGACAAGGGTACCGTTCTAATCGCGGGATGCTGAGTGCGCAGCGGTATCAGTGTGGCGCATTTGAGTGCCACTTCGCGCAAGGGTGCCACCCATTTTTATTTTTTTATTTCCTTTTCTTTGTTTGTAAATGTTTTTCTTTTCCTTTTTTGGTTTTTTATTTTACTTGGTTGCCTTTTGATTTTTCCTCCTCCGTCTTCCACTTTGTTTTTGGCATTTTTTTTTCTTTTTCTCCTTCCTTTCCCTCTTATTTTTGTACTTTTTGTTCCTTTTCTTGGTTTTTGTCTTGTGTTTCCTTTGTTTTATAATTTTGTTGTTTCCTTCTATTCCTGTTTGTTCTTTCTCCTTCCTTTTTTTTTTGTTTTGTTTTCGTTCTCTTAGTGTATTTCTTTTGTCTTTTCTTTTTTCTGTAGTGAGTTTCGACCTCCTTTCGATTTTTTTCTCGATTTTTTTTTTTTTCGATATGGTATTCCTCCTCCTTCCTCCCCCTCCCACTCTCTCATCCCATCCATCCCGCGCCTTCTCCTTCCTTCATGGCCGTGCCAATTTCGAGGTAGAGAGATTCAAATGTACCCGTCCTCTTTCTTTCCTCGTGCTGTGGTTTCGCTCCCAGGGATAGATTAGGTAAGAGGCTTCCCAAACTTCATGGTTGCAGAGCTGCGCAATCTAAGGCGATACCTAGTCCTTGGGACTGCGCTCCGTTTTGAAAGAGCGGGCCCTTTGTAGAGGTTGGGAGACGATTGGGTGAGGGATCAAGAGAAGGATATGAAGAACCTCAGGACTCAATACACTTTTGCCTGCTTCAGTTGCAGCACTGTTCAATCATTCGATCTTGCTGCATGAGCGTTGCGCGACCGCGACGCACCATTTCCGTGCGTGAAATAGTGTGCGTGCGCGGCCGGTCCATCCGTGCTCTGAGGCTGGACCTTGGCCTCGAGGCGGACAGGATCAAAATCATCACCTTTCTCCCTCTCCCTTCACCCTGCCCCCTCCTCAAGTGTGAACGTTTCTGTATCTTTCAGAAACCGTTGCCTGCTTCAGTTGCAGCACTGTTCAATCGTTCGATCTTGCTGCATGAGCGTTGCGCGACCGCGACGCACCATCTCCGTGCGAAGTAGTGTGCGTGCGCGGCCTGTCCATCCGTGCTCTGAGGCTGGACCTTGGCCTCGAGGCGGACAGGATCAATATCAATACTTTTATCCTTCTCCCTTCACCCTGCCCCCTCCTCAAGTGTGCACGCTGCTGTATCTTTCAGCAGCTGTGGCCGGAGGATAGATGCTGGCGAATAGGGGGCTGAGTTTGGGCGGAGGGCCGGACACTCTAGTGCAAAGTCGGCCTGCCGTTGCCCATGTCCCAACTGCCTGAGACGAAAAAAAAAGAGGGTTGACACGAATCGAAAATCCGAGTCTTCCACCCCGAGAGGCTCTCAGGAGGCCCCGAGAGGCCCCTAACAGGCTCCAAGAGGCCCCAAGAAGCCCCCCAGGGGGCCGAAGAGTATCCAAGAGGCCTCCCACGAAGGCCCCAAGAGGCAAAAATCCATGTCTTGCCATAGGTTTTTGATTGATGTTAGAGTTTTCAGCCTTTTGGCGTCCTGACGCTCCAAGACTGTCCAAAAGGCCTCCAAGACCAATCCAAGATAGCCCAAGAGGCCTCCAACAGGGCCCAAGACAGCCCGAGAGGCACCAACACGGCCCCAAGGGGGGCCCAACAGGGGTAAGACGAACCGAAAATCCGAGCCTTCCACCCCGAGAGGCTCTCAGGAAGCCCCAGAGGCCCCCAAATGGGACCCAAGAGGCCCTCAAGAAGCTCCCCAGAAGGCCGAAGAGGTTCCAAGAAGCATTGTTTTCCCATCGGCTTTTGATGGACTTTAGAGTTCCCAGCCTTTTGGCATCCCGACGCTCCAAGACGGCCCAAGTGGCCCCCAAGACCGCTCCAAGATAGCCGAAGAGGCCTCCAAGAGGGCCCCAAGACGGCCCACGATGGCCCCAAGACGGTGCCCGAGGCGCCCGAGACGGCCCGAGAGGGCCCCAAGACAGCCCCAAGACAGCCCCAAGAAGGGGAAGGCGAACCCAACAGCAGAGCTTTCCGCCCTAAGAGGCCCACAGGAGGCCCCAAGAGTCCCCAAGTGGTCCGACGAGGCCCCCCAAAGCCCCCCACCAGGTCCCAAAAGGCTCACAGGAGACGTACACGGGGCCCCAAGATAGCCGAACAGTGTTCTCGATGCATCAAAATTGCTTCAAGGAGGCCCCGAGAGGCCTCCGGATTGCCCCAATGTGGCCTCAAGCCGGGCCTCCACGCAGCCAAGACGGCCAATCGACTGCTTCAGACTGCAGAACATCACTTTCCGACTGCCCGGAGAACCCTGACGATGCCCCCAAGGGACCCCAAGAAGCCCCAAGATGCCCCCCCGAAAAGCACCCAAGAAGTGCCTCCAACAGCCAAGTGAGGAAGCACGGAGAACCCCCCAGAAGCCCTTCTGATGCCCCCACGAAGACCCAAGAGGTTCCCAAGAGGCCCTCAGGAGGCACGACTATGTCACGCGCCTGTGCTTGATAGCGCTGTCCAAGATCTTCTAGCGCGCCCTTGGCCTGGGCTAGAACCTGAGCGCGCGCGAAGCGCGCGCGATGGTTCTAGTATATACATATAACGGCGCACCGGGTCCGGGGGCCCGGGGCCGGGACCTCGACCACAAATGTGGGCTCCGGGGGGCCCGGAGGCTCGTCGGGGCTTGCCGGAGGCCTCCACGGTCAGACAAGACGGCCCCAGGAGCGCCCAAGACGGCCCAAGAAACTTCCAGGAGGCCTCCAAGAGGGCTCCGAGATGCTGAAGATGGCCTCCAGACGTCCAAGGACGCCCCCAAGAGGCCCCAAAAAGCCTCCAACATGCGTCCCAAGAGGGCCCCCAGACGCAAAAAATTGCCCATTCCCTTCGTAAAACGTACATTTTCAACAAAGTTGCCTTTTGGGCTTTCCGACGTTACAGGACGGCCCAAGAGGCGCCCAAGACCGCCCCAAGACGGCCCAAGAAGCTTCCAAGAGGGCCCCAGGACAGCCCACGAGGGCCCCAAGACGGCCCAAGAGGCGCCCAAGATGGCCCAAGAGGGCTCCAAGACGGGCCCAAGAGGGGGCCCAGAGGGGGACCACGAACCGCAAGCTCGAGCCTTCGCCCCAAGAGGCCGCCAGGAGGCCCCAAGGAGGCCCCTCAAGAGGCCCCAGGAGACCCCAGACGTCCAGGACTCCCCAAGAGGCCCAAGAAGCCTTCCAACATGCGGTACCAAGAGGCCCCTAGACGCAAAAAAATTGCCAATCCTTCGTAAAAAAACGTAACATTTCAACAAGTTGTCTTGTTGGCTTTCCGACGTTACAGGACGGCCCAAGAGGCGCCCAAGACCGACCCAAGACGGCCCAAGAAGCTTCCAAGAGGGCCCAGGACAGCCCAAGAGGGCCCCAAGACGGCCCAAGAGGCGCCCAAGATGGCCCAAGAGGGCCCCAAGACGGGCCCAAGAGGGGGCCCAGAGGGGGACCACGAACCGCAAGCTCGAGCCTTCCGCCCAAGAGGCCGCCAGGAGGCCCCCAGGAGGCCCCTCAAGAGGCCCCAGGAGACCCCAGACGTCCAAGGACGCCCCCAAGAGGCTCCAAGAAGCCTCCAACATGCGTCCCAAGAGGGCCCTAGACGCAAGAATTGGCCCATTCCCTTCGTAAAACGTACATTTTTAACAAAGTCGCCTTTTGGGCTTTCCGACGTTACAGGACGGCCCAAGAGGCGCCCAAGACCGCCCCAAGACGGCCCAAGAAGCTTCCAAGAGGGCCACAGGACAGCCCAAGAGGGCCCCAAGACGGCCCAAGAGGCGCCCAAGATGGCCCAAGAGGGCCCCAAGACGGGCCCAAGAGGGGGCCCAGAGGGGACCACGAACCGCAAGCTCGAGCCTTCCGCCCCAAGAGGCCGCCAGGAGGCCCCCAGGAGGCCCCTCAAGAGGCCCCAGGAGACCCCAGACGTCCAAGGACGCCCCCAAGAGGCCCCAAGAAGCTTCCAACATGCGTCCCAAGAGGGCCCCTAGACGCAAAAATTGGCCCATTCCCTTCGTAAAACGTACGTAAAACCCCGCAATTGCGGATAAGAGTGAGGGGGCGGGCGCGGGCGACGCGGGCGTCGTCGAGCCGGCGGACCTCGTGGCCCCCACCTTCCTTGTCGATGGCGCTCTCCTCCACCTCCTCCTCCTCCTCCTCCTTCTCCTCCTCTTCCTCCTCCCTCTCCTCCTCCTCTTCCTCGTCCCCATCGTCATCGTCATCGTCCTCCTCCACCTCGTCCTCCTCCTCCTCTTCTTCCTCGTCCTCCCTCTCCCCCCCTCGTCTTTTCATCATGGTCCTCCCATTGTCGTCCTCCCCCTCATCGGCCTCCATCATCGTCCTCCCATTGTCGTCCATCATGCGGCGGGGGCGGAGCTCGGTGGGGCCATAGCAAAGTGGTCGTTGCAGGGCACCTTTGTTGAAAAGGGGTTGGGGAACGTATCAGCGAGGAAAAAAGGAAGGATGGGAAAAGAAAGTGAGGAGAAGGGCCAGCAAGGGGGGAAGAAGGAAGGACGACGCAAGGAGGACGGGAAATATGGAGGAAGGATGAGACGGAAGAAAAGAAAGAAGGAGACATGACGGAGGGAGGTGTCCAACGGGGGACGAAGGTACCTAAAGGAACGCAACGGGGACTTGATGCAAAACAGGGGGATTACGGAAT